TCACTGCTATCGGCTTTTGAGCGGTCATCGCGGTCTTGAGACTGCGCAGAGTCTTGCGGGGTTGCTGCAGCGGTCGATTCGAGGAGTGCTTCCACGTCAAGACCTGACATTGTGATGATGTGTGCTAGGTAACACTCTTGTGTCTGACGAGGTTTGAACGGGAAAGGAAAAGAAAGAAGATGGTGTGAAAAGGACTTTGGGTCACTTGTGCTTCGTTAGAAAGTGCCGAGTTATCAAGCTTGACTTGGGCGAACCCTTCTATTTGTACAATCAGGTTTCTTAGACTTTGCAACCAGAATGCCAAGGCCGGGACAGTTGATCACTTGATTGAAGTGTGTCGCAAATTGTACAGGCTTTAGCTGTTGATAAGCCGGTGGTGAGGGATGTCTGAATGTCTCAAACTGCGAGGAACCTGGATGGTCACATGATTCTTGGCATTTGCCTCCTTATTCTGAAAAAAATTTAAAGCCGATCAGTGGGTGCCTCAGGCCAACAATAACAGGTTCGGCACACCCAGTACTTCACAAATGAGCAAAGAGAAGTCTCTAATTATGTATTAATACCTAGTCATATAAGTCGTTTAAACAACAATCCTAAAGCCGTCTAAGACATAAAAGTTTCAATCATTAGAGATTGAAAGTACATAGTCCTTTGATGGTTGTCTGAACAACAGTAGGGACCAAAAGCCATCATCTGTAGAAGCTGTGGTGTTTAGCCAGGTTCAGATATTGGAACCGCAGTCATTTGTAATTAGTCGTCAGGATAAGATATGAGCAGAGAAAGGAATCCGTCGCAGTGCGAGCGAAGAACAGAAACTCCAAGCAAGCAGTCTTCATCATTGAGCTTTTGCGCCCTTGGGTGGTGGGGTTTGGAGTTCGGTGCCAAACACTCGGTCCCAGAAGCGACTTGTGACACCAAAGCCGTTTTCATAGTCAGCAAAGTGGTGCTCAAGGTGATACTTCTTGAGCGACTTATAATAGGCGGGCAAGCTAGAAGACGCCACTGCATTAGACATGTGGACTGATAATGATAGGGAGTGAAAACTCACTTGCGGTGGTGGAGGAAGTAATGTGTCATATCATAACAGATATATCCAAATACGCCACCACAGAAAACTGTGACCGCAGCGTACCAGTTATAGAAGAAGATTGTATGAGCCAGTTTCCAGAAGGGCGTGGCCAGAATCACGAACAAAGCTGGTGGCATCACAAGCCGGTATCTATCCATTGGCAGATAATGGTGGATTCCGTGCAGAAGGAAATGGAGGGTGATGCCGACTCGGTTATCAGGGAGATATCTGAGGAAGGCCAAAATGTCAGGTGAAGTTAGAGGGGCAGGCATCAATAGAGTACGTACCCGTCAATGTGAAAGAGAAATCTGTGCATGAGATATTCAATCAAGGTCCAAAGGAAAAGACCAAACAGCCAGTAGCAGGCTGCTGCAGGGACATTTCCCAGTCCAGCAAATCCAACAAAACTTCCGTAGGTGACTGGAGGAAGCCAGAGCAAAGGAACCACATACCACGCGGTCTTGCTCAAGGGCTCCAGGAAGTTCCCAAATAGGGGTGCCGACTCCCCTCCCTTATAGTGGCGCGGCCGGTGGATCTGCTGTAGATAGAACTCTTTGCTGAAGCCACTATTCCAGAGCTGAAGAAGCAATGGCTTGTTGAGGTCTAGAAACTTGAAGGTTTGATAATCCTTGGTGAAGTCTGTTTCAACGGACAGGTCCTCTTCGCGCGACATGCCTGTCGAAGCATACACTGGCCGCGAAGCTTCTACTGGCTCTTCTGTAGCTGACCCGTTCGTATCTGCTGTCTTTCCGGTAGATTTGTTATCGAGAAACCCAACAAGAAGGTCCTCTAGAATTTCGTAGGCCGCCTCAGAATGATTGTGAGAGGGCTCATCCCGCAAGATCTCCTTCACATCTTTACCGGCATATTCGAGGATTAAGTCGCCGCCCCCCGGATGATCATTAAGAAAGGATGTGACATCGTAAACCTTAGACCCCAAAGTCACATAGCAAGATTTGGCGTGGCTGTGGGTTTCGACCTCGGCGTGTGTGAATGTTGGCAGGATCTTTCCGGGCATGATCGGATATTTCGAGGTTATTGAAATACCGCTGCGCGCTGCAGACACAAGACTCGAGAAATATGAAATTAACTAGACCGACCGTGAGTACAGAGTCGCTAAGTTCAGGAATCCAAAACTTCAGATGGAACGGCGAAAATGTGAAAATAAATCGCAGCAAAAAGGAGTGGCGTGAGCTTCGAAATAATATCAAGGCTTGCGGGTCCGACCGCTCCGGGATCCGTCGTACAATCGATGGGACCAGAACACTGCGCCAGTTACGACCGCGCTTTTGCAAAGCACCGCCCTCTTTTCTTCGGCTTTTCTCAGGTGCTTTGAGCCGAGGTGGGATGAGAGCTGAGTGAGAGATTATCATACGCAAACCCCAGAGTCGTTGACGAGAAACGAGGAGTAGCAATCATGTGGGTGAAACGTCAAAAGTTGATAGTTTGCTATACTCTTTTGGGACAGTGTGACCCCTGACCCACTTCAACATTGTACACAGTAGTATCCTTATTCTTAAGGCTTCCGACGTCCTTTAAGGCTTCAACTTGTTCTCAAGCAGACAGGTGAAGGTTGTGAGCTCTTCTTACGGCGCCTGATATTCATGTTTCTCAATGGAGCTTGAGTCGATACGGAAACAGGTGAGGTAAGTACAAACATCCGTAACGGTGACTTTTCATCGACCGTTGATCAGACAACCTTGCCTATTGAAGGGACAAGCGCCTACAAATATTGTAGTTAAGCTTCTCAGTTCAGTCAAAAATGATTGCATCATGAAAGTCGGCCTCTACAAGCTAACTTTGAGAACCGATGTGCAGGAATAACATCAAAGGTTTGGCAGCTGACGGCAGAATCCCTCCATCCCATAACCCTTTCCGGTGGCTGGCTGGCTGACTGATAACATTCCCTCAGCAGACTGATATAGGATTAGGATATGGCCTGAGAGTTGGACTTTTTAAAACTACTGTAGTTTACGGAATTCTTGTCCGAGGGCCCGAGTGATCCCTGAGATGTCGAGGCTCTTAGGAGCTATGATGCATTCATGCTGCATATTTGGATGTGTCACGCCATAGCCACAACCCTTGCATACCAGTTCTCTGTGCGGAGTACAATGTAGAGCACACCTTACCTACCAGGCTACCGCGGTTACACCGTTGAGGAACCAGAAGAAGCCTCGTACTTGCAAACCCCATAGCATAAGAGGCAGCTCATTCTGCAAAAGTATGCGCCTAAAACCTCGTTGGATGTGACTTTGGAGCTTTGACGTTGGATGTGGATAAAGTTTCAGAACTCCTGTTGTACGGAGTATATCTATTTCATTGGGACTTTTGTAAATTGATGTGTCTTACGACCTCGCCAGCTTCAAGACTAGACTGCTGTAGATAGCCTATTCTACCCCGTACAATACTTCTCTCGTACGCTGAGTCTGTTCGTATTGAACCCAATCAATATTGAAGTCACGCGGTGCAGGTCATGTTACCGCTATGAAACCGTGATTCAGCTGCAAAGTTACCTAGAGGCGAAAAGGAGCCGTTGGATGAGCAAGGACCCAGTAAATCCCCTCCTATCTTCAGGATTCAAGGTTCAGACTGCTACTAACCTCAACTGTCAAGGACTCAAACTAGGTAGTCATGTCGTTTAGCCTCAAAAACTGGGTTCGAGACGTCAGATCCCGTGTGTAATTAATATTGATAAATCATTCGGAGTAATCCGTACCCACGCTGGATATGTATGTCAATCATCTCATTGATTCTTCGCCCAATATTCTTCCTCCCTCATTCAGCAATAATTTATCGGATGATGTATGTTGCGGGCCACATCCCGTAACGGTGTACCGGAAGAATACCTAAACAAGTAAACGGTAGGTAGGTACTTTGAGTCGTGCGACCCCTGAAATAATACAAAAATTGGCCCAACAGGAGACTAGCTGAATAGCTACAGGGAAGTAAGTACCTTATTCTACCGTCGAGCAACCAGGGCGAATAGCGCGTGATCAAGATATTGAATCGACCTGCAAGGTATGGATGATGAAAACCCAGCGTTTACTTTAGTTAATTACTACAGTGGTACGGGGAGTACTTAGTGCATAGTCGTGGCGTTGACGCGCCTTAGGGTAACGCGGGTTACGGGTAACTTAAGCCAGCTGCGGCGAATGGGATGTGGAACTGGAGCGAGGCGATCTGATCTTCATCGCTTGAAATGGATATGTTGGATAATTGGAGCCAAGGAAAGAAAGAGCAGCCGACATTGGACAGTCAACCGTCGAAAAGGACGTCCTCAGAAAGGCACATGGTGGATCGTGATGGAGTCACTTCAAGGACGTACTTGGACATACTGGGACGTACTTGGTAGGAGTTTCTCCGTATATCCCCCGTAGGATTCGCTCCAGTTCGAAGCGGAGCACTCCCTCAAGTCACATAAGGTTTGCTTGAATGTCTCTTATGCAATTGCTCATCGGAGACTTTGAGTTTGCTGGACAGATCTACGAAAAACGAAGTATCGGGTCCCTCAATCGATAGATACCTTGATAAACATAATTACAGAAAGTTCCCGCCAGCATCTGATCTTTGTCGAGCTAACTGCCACAAAAAGTGGGGATGTGACATTATTGGCCAACTGTCAATCCCTTTGGTCTCGACCAGTTCTTTGTCTAAGCCTCCAGTGGCCGGTTATCTATCTAATAATCTATCTTACCTAGTATCTATTGCCTATTGGTAGCTGGCTAGTGATGCGTTAGTAGCTTAGTAGTTAGTACATGTCTAGCTCGCCAAAGAAATGGGAGCTCCGTTCATTATTATTATTGATTGACCCTTTTCCAGTCCTCAACCCCCCAGATACGATAGTTAAAAAGAAACAAGATCCCCCCATATTATACCCCTCCTCTCTTCGGCAACGGGATCACGATTTATTACGATCAGTCGGCCCTTAAACATGGAATCACCTACACCGTTCGAATCCTTCTCTTTTCGGGGCAACCGTATCATTGCCTACCTACAGACGCTAGCAAGGGCCAAGAAAGGTTTACCGCATGGTGTACCTGTCTGCGTCTCTCCTTCACATACCATCACCAACACCGAGTCTCTGCTGACTCTGGCTTCCTTGGTCGGCCCTCATGTTGCGATCTTCCAAGTTCATGCAGACATCATCGACGACTGGTCCGACGAGACGGTCCGCCAATTGACCTTGCTAGCGAAGAGACACGCCTTCTTGATCTGGGAAAGCGGCCGAATCCTCAATGCTACCGTTGACGTTGTTGGGAAAACAACAACCGAGACAAGAGAAGTGAGAAATGAGTTGGTGGATTTGATAAGGAAAAAATACACCAAAGGTGTGGTCAAAGCAGCCTCGTGGGCTGGCATTGCGACGGCCTGGGCCTCTGGTGTCACTGTCGGGAACCAAGAAGCTGATATCTTGATCCCAACATTGAAAGCTGCTGCTCGAGAAGCGGTCGCTGACAGTGTGCAAACCATCCGGACAGAGATCACGGCTGTCAATGCTCCGACTGAGTCCTTGGTGAATGGTCATGATGATTCTGAATTAAAGGAAGACACCAGTGCTGACCAGCAATATCTGACGCTTGACTACGCTGTGGATGAGAGTGGCCTTGGTCTCACTCTTCGGAAATCCTCGACCATCTCTCTCACTCAAACTATTACTCAACATACGGAAGATTCTACGGAATCGCTTCTGGACTCGACACCTCACCTCATAACGCAGGATGGCATTCCGGAAACAAATCTCCAAAATCTGTCCAACGGTGATGATCTGCCGCCTCCGCCTCTCCTTGCACGTGGTCTTGTGCTCTGTCTCCCGTCAATGACCGACACCTCATTCACGCCTGAATACAGACGGAGCTGTCTAGCTGCTGCTCGCGCCAACCAAGATTTCGTTCTGGGATTCCTGTGCAGTGAGCCGTGGCACCTCATGCCCCAGAGGAATGATATCTTCGACATCAACTCTCTCCAAGCGAGCGGATATGAGATAGGCACTTCAGGTGAAACGCCAGCTCATCTTGCTATTTTCTCCATGATCTCTCACAAGAACGGCGTACTCAATGGCCGAGAAGAGAACGATGATGAGAGTGACGAGGAAATGAGTCCCACAACTCCCTTGGCTCCGGAGTTACCGTCGAGGATCATGAGCCCAATTGCGACAAAGCTGCATGCTATTGTCGGGCAGGCGGTCAAATTACGTGATGCAACGGTCAAGCATGCAGTAGATGGCCTTGCGAGCTCGGGGTCATTGAACGCACCCAGGCTCCTGCATATTCCCGTGGTATCGTTACCTTGATACTAGCACAAGTATTATGTTCAGCCTCGGCTCGGGATTCGGAATGCAATCGTGATACACATATTTTCAGACCGTTAACGACCAGAATTTACAGTTTGCAGCAGGTGCGGCGTTTGAGGATTTCAGGGACAGCTTGTGTAATCGTACGAGCGAGAATTTGTCCATACCTGAATATCGTTTGTTTATTTTTGGTTTTTCAGGCCCTTTTACAGAACAGCTTAGTCTTTCTGCCCTTATTACCTGATTGTATCCTAGAACGTGGTGTCTACGCAGTTGAGAGCGATGCATCACGTGACTCATTGCCTAATGAGGCGAGTTACCGACAGTGACTTCCACCTCAACTTTCCATCTTGTCCTAGATAGTGATCGTATTCTTTGCATTTCTCTGAGGACACCTGTTCCATCAAAGTGATATAATTTTAGAAAGGAAGCATCCACATAATAAGTGTTTTTCTCTCTGGCTTTTAGAATGTTCTCAATTTATGCCCGATAGCAAGCCACTGCTCCCCACAAGAACATCAATCGTCACCGAAAACATGCCAAAGGCCAGCAAGACCCCGGTTGCTCGGATATGCGCTTTAGAGGGCCTGTGATTCAGATGTGCCTCTCCCTTTTGTTGTATTTGTGCGGTCTATTTTTCTATAGACCCTTTTTGGGTTAAAGCATCACTCGACATACTCGAGTATGAAGGCGGGACATGATTTTCTTGCCTCCTCTGATGGGCCTGGAGATCCAAGCCGAACACTGCCTCGACACACTGTGGCTGGGTTTGCTGCGGATCACCGGCAAGCAGCAAGCTCTTTTCTGACGGCGAACGACCATGAAGAAGGAGGAACTCGTCCTCTGAGACAAGCCCAGCAATATGCGAAATCCGTCGCCAATCATGCCGATGTTATCATTGAATACACAGACGTTGGATCATCTGGTTCAAACTCATTTCAAGTTGATAAGCATTGCTGGCGAGTTGCCAGTCAAGACTTGATAGAAAATAGCCCATACTTTCGTGCTCTACTCGACCCCAACAAGTTCTCTGAGGGCCGGCAGTTCATGCAGCAAAGGGCTGGCCATGGTCAAAGATCGACGCATGAAGTGACAGGAGAAGAGCACGATCAATCGGGTATCGCCAGTGGAGCTTGCTTACAGCACAATCTGCCAACAATCAGCCTATCCCGAGATCGTTTCCTATCGAGGCTCGGGGCAGATGCCATTGAACTGTTCTTGAGAATCCTGTCTTACAGGTCCCTCGAAGACGATGAGAAGCAAGGATTCGACGCCGAGTTAAGAGTTCAACCCACCTCTCTTGTTGCCAGATTACTTGAAACAGGCGATGCATTGAATTCTCCGCACATCGTAAAAGAGGCCTTACAAAGATCAAAATATGCTTACGGGAAGGGCAAGATGCCCCTGTCAAAATTTGATACGTCCTTGCTGAAGATCAACGAGGATCGTCTTCGTCAAAGTATATTTATTGCCAGATTTTTGGATGATCCGCATGTGTTCCAAGTTTTATCGCATGCTCTGATTGTCGGGGGGTCTAGGTATTGGATCAATGGCATTGAGAGTCATGTTCCTACTTCTCCTTGGGGATATCTTCCCGATGGCATAGAAGGTAATGGAGAGATACCATCCCTGCCGCTCCGTGAGAATCAACGCTAATATCCATAACAGAAGAACTTTACTACAGACGCCAATGCGTCCTCAACACCATCACAGACCTACAAGCATTCTTCCTCCGCGCCTACGGTGCACTAGAAGAACCACACGAACCCAAACCAAGCAATACAGCACCATCAGCAGCACAAACTACGGTCCAACAACGTCAATTTCAATGCCGCTGTGGATTCGGCAACTCCAACGCCTGCGACGCATTCCATCTAGGCCAGATGATGCGATTCTTCGCACTACGCACAAAGACTATCTTCATAGGATCAAGTCTGCTGGACCCCGACTTCACCCTTGATCCCGAAAACGAAGACGGTAATGGCCAGGACACCCCCGTACCGCCTCAGCCTCTAGCGACCGCGGCTGAGCCGCCATCCGACATCACGTCGATCATATCGTCTTTGAAACAGTGTCCAGATTATCAACTGGACGCGAACCATACCGGCTGCGGCGTTCGTCGCCGCTTTGTACCGCCTCTCGACTGCATTGAACGCTTCGTGGGGGATGGTCGAGGCTTACTGGGTGTCGATATACGGTCCTGGGATGAGAAGAAGTGGCCACTCGCGTCGGAATCCTGGGCCAATCGAGCTCGCCGTAGGGCATCGGTTGTTGATGTTCGCTTCTCGAAGATCAATGCTGTGCATGCCACGCCGTCAGGCTTGCTACGGCCGAGAACCCAGGAAGAAAATGCTCGGTTACTCTTTACCGCGAGGAGAAGAAACTGGGAGGCTTGAGCGTTGACAGTTTGTGACGCATGTATAGCAGCGTTCTTGCACAGACTGCGACGTCATTACTGACATGACTGTTTCATGACAGTATACGACATAACGTCATTAGACCGACCTGTGCTACAAAAGGTCCAATGATTACATTTTGCATCACCTTCACGCCTTGTGAAATGATACCACTTTTGAAAATGTGGCGGGCTCTTAGCTATGCTCATTGATCAATAATAAGGATGAGAGCAGACCAAGGAAGGCATCATTTGCTGGGATGTATACATAGCAGATAATAGCACAAACGAGGGAAGGCCTCTCCTTTTCAGCCGCTGAAGGTGTATAATACAGTGTCTTGCAGCTACTATTGTGCATGGCAGGTGTCAGCCTGTAAGTAGTTTTGTCACACAATGACTTGATCAATAATGTTGCTGGATCTCTGCTCTCTGCCATCGAGTCCAGGATCATGCTTTAATATATCTATCCGTCTATCGTCTATCCTTCTATCCCTATCCATGGCAAAAAGAATGCAAAAATGTTGAAGCGATGCAAACAGAAAAAGCAAAGGAACGGACGATAGAAATGCAATGTTATGAAGTGAGAGTTGTCCCGGTGCGCCGCTTCCAAAGATTGATGATGAGAAAATCTGAAGATTGGTTAACCTGCTTTTGATAACAATGCTCCTTGTACCATAATGCATCTTTCTCTTGTTGGTCCCCGAACCTGATATTTTCATATCCATGCGCGTCCGTAGGCCTCTCCTTTTTCTTCCTTTTTACTCCTGGTGCTACTCTTTCCAAAAAATGGGGTCACCCCAGAAGCATCCCAAGTCAAAGTCGATATTGTTTCCAGGAGGGAAGAAGGATCCTGTGATCTGACCTGTATCTGCATCGTATGGGAAAAGGTCGTCGAACGTATTGCGACCTGAAACTGATTTATCAGTTTTCAGGAAGTCGAATGGATCGGACGAGTCCAGTTCGAATGGGATCGGTCCAGGCAGAGGGGAGTTTGATTCATTCAAGGGTGAGCATGCAATGGCATCTAGCTCAGTGGCTAGATTGTCAGCACTTGTTCTACCCACAGCTGTATCTTCCGCATCATCAAACTGAGCATCGGGTGTAGCGTCCCCAGCAGTATCACCTGCGGTGGGGAAATCTTCAATATCAACACCGACATGCGGTGCAAGCCGCCTGAGGAATCCATCACAAAGTCGCCAGGCTCTTCCAGAGGCCTCATCAAAAGTTGACATAGCTGACAGCCACTCCAGGGCCTTTTTGGCCGCTTTGGCGACTATTGACGCTTTATCTGGGACATGTTGAGCACGAAAAGTAAGCTCGAGAAGCAGGACAGTAGCCGCTTGCATCAGATAGTGTAGAATGCACCACCAGGGTGACACTTTGTAAAGTAAAGTAGCGTCTGCGCTTTCAGGTAGGAGTGTCAGCATGTGGCAAGCCGACTCGACACACTCAGCTGCGGTCTTGGTACAGAAATCAAACGTCTTTTCCCCTTGCGAACGAGTTGAGTCCAGGCGGCAAAGGCATGGCCTCGTGATGCCAATCTTTGTGCTATAGAACAGAAGAGCAAGGCTCATCCTTTGGCTTGCAGGACACTGTGACGTTTGAGTCGATGTGAAATCGTAAGCACTAGGCAGGTTCATAAACCACGAATCAATTTCAAGCATCAGGCTCTGGATTGTGAATTCTTTGCTTGGCCAAGGAGAATGCATCGCCTCGGGACCATATAGCTTGGCAGTCATCCTCTTGTTGATTGAAGTGAGCGTGGAGAGCTGAATGAAATATAATGACATGCACGGGGGGACGCTCTTCAGGTACTCAACCATGCTACTTCCTGGTGCTTTCGTGTTGGCCGTTCCGTCGGTTGTTTCAGCATCCAAGGTAGTTCTCAAGTCGGATGCACTTGGACAGACTGGAGGGATCCGGTCCAGCTGGTTCGAGTTGCCTCTTGATGTATCACCTATCATGCGCACCACCTCTTCTTTCTGAAAATCAGACTCATCGAACGGTACCGGTAAGGGAGTGGTACATGAGTTATCGACGATACACGAAGGCCGTCCCGTCATCGCACTGAGCAGATGATCGAGGGTGTACAAAGACCACCAAACACGGTATCTGATCTCCTTGGAAGTGTCTGATGTACAGATTCCCACATTGCGTAGATGCAGCCCCAAAGCAAAGGCCCCGCGCATCGCACTGCCAGACAGTTTCCATGCTCTGAAAAGATATGAAAGTTAGTATAATCGCATTCAGCAGTAGATCGCTTCGGCCACGGGTAGGCGGCAAGGGCATACCGATTGACGTGGCCAGAGGCCAGTAAATATAAAGATGCCAGTCCTTCAACTTGTAGCTGTTGAAGATCAGGATGATGAAGGAGCTCGTCCTCTAAGCTCAAACTCCTCGCTTTCGAAAAGTATATGAGATCGTCATCCTCGCCACATTTCCACGCCGCATTGGTGATGTGGGCATATTTTGCACCAATGGCGAATATGAGGTTCAGGATCGCCAGCCACTTCTTTCCTGGCTTTACTGGGGGCTGGTTGAAGAATACTTGGAATTGCGATAAGAATGTCGAGACGCCGATGATCGGAAAAGAAGGATGAACTGAATGTAGATATGCATTGAGAAGTTTGGTAGCAGTGTCTCTTGAAGGAACATCGCTTGCATCGAGCGGCTCAATCGCTGGTAGGTCCAGATCATCGAGGTAGAAATTTGACGAGGCAACTAACGGGTCGCTTTGGCCATCAGGTCGAGGGGTCAAGGATGGAGATGGCACGCCATTATCGTCGCCCGTATCAGAGGAATTGGGAGGCCAGAATTCACATTCCTGGTTGACTTCTTTACCCAACATTTGTAGCCAAGCAATCACGGAGCTTCTGCCCATGTACCCTGTTGCCCGGGCAGTCTCATCTCTGTTGAAATCCTCCTTGGTGTGGTCTATAACCTTGTTGGGGCCGACAGAGGATTGACGGGAGGGCGGATCAGACCCAGGATTCCATGGGGGTTTCTGTTCTCCAATTGATGTGCCGAGCATGTCTGATTGTACGTTGAGCTCCAGTGGCATTTCCTGCCCTCGCTTAGCACTTTGAGGTGACTGAGAAGGGCGCACTCATACCGCTGCTAGGGCAATGCTCATCAGTCGCTCATCGGAAACCCCAAATCGACTACTCAGCTTTCTGATGACGTCTTCATATGCTTGAACCTTAGCTGACAGGCTCGCTAGTTGCCTTTTGAAGGTTATCAAATATGTCTCATTGAAAAGAATGTTGTTCCAACGCTCACCTTTTTGACTTTTCCCGTTTACCATCTGTATAGCAGCAGATGATCCCAGCCTCGCGGCAATTCCGGCATCCGGATTTATCTCCTGTACATTTTGTCTTTCTTTGCCTGCAAGATTCGCATGCCCGCCGTACGTGACGGCGATGAAATCTACCAGGTGATGTGAACGCAGATTCAGTTCCTTCGGTCAATCTTGGAATAGCCATCTTTCGGCTGCCCAGTCTTTCCGATTCGTTTTCTGACAGCCGTGGGATTGAATTCTCCTGCATGAAGATAAGTCAGCTGATAGGTTATTTGATTGAAGGGGGGAACCTTGCCACTTGAGGCAATTGAGGAAAGCCTTCTGCGTCAGTACAAGGCAACTTGAAAAGATTTGATTGATCTGTCCAAGGCTGAAACTGCAAGCCGCTCATTGTGATTTGCAAGAATTGGCGTGAACGTCTGAGGAGAGGATCACATTTCAGTAGCTGCACTTTGATGGCAGTATATTTTGACAAGTACCTGTCATCAATATACTCTGAAGGAAGCTTCGATAGTGATAGAGGTTCAGGCCGAAAGCATTATGTCAGTTCTACCTAACAGAGTCGGTTAAGATCTCCCAGAACCGCCAGATATGTAGCAGCAGCGAGTCCAAGACAATTTTTTTTGTCAGTGCTTCGAAGGATGAGGGGTAGATGGCCAGATAACAAGCATCAGTTGTCTTTCGGGAAAGGCATTGATCAAAGCAGCAAGAGAAGATCTTATCCAAATCACGTCTCCCCCATATTCCGAGAACTTAGACCGGAATTTAAGTGCGAGGTGGAGAACATCCCCGTACCCTGAAAAGTAGGGAATGTCCCTTATTATGGTTGTTGGAGCCAAATCTGGTAGATCTAGACCAGAGCACGAAAGTAAGTACAAGCACCTTGGAAATCCAATCAACATTTTGCTGGCCCCATCAGTCTGGACCGCAATGTGGCAACCATAAGGTAGAGACAAGAGTCGGATTCAGCATTGCCTCCTACGCCTCATACGATCAACGGTTTGACAGAGGGAGGGAGACTCCAGCTCTTCATCACGCATGTTGTCGCTCAGCAGGCATCTAGCTGGTGGTTGCCGCTTCTCTTTGCTTGTAAGTATCCATGCATGCAAGTGTATCTGTATCCCCTGATAGCTGGGAAGTCTGGAACGTTCGCTGGACCAGCAGATTGAGCTCCCGCCTGCTTCTTTTGCCCCTGTGTATCCGTGGCCGATGGAGCCAAACATGTTAGTAAGCCGTCTATTGCATGGTAGATAGTGTCGAATGTTGATCTTCAATCGGCGACGGCCGAAAAGGTTGGCAGCCGACTACGGTCGAGACGGAGTCTCGACGGGAATTTAACTCTCGCGAAATATTGTTAGACGCCGGCCATGTCCCATCGAGAACCGGGGGTGGTTGCGTAGCTGTTGTGTTACGACATTATCGCCCCCACCATGCTTGTCAACTTGACGTTGGAGAGTCATTGCGCGATGGCTATGAGAAAATGGATTACAGGTCCCCTGGTCCTGCCATGGAGGACTGTCCAATAATGAGCCCTTGAAAGTGTGATGACGGTCAACTGTCGGAAGGGACAGGAAAGTCGAGATACGCAGGAGAGGGCGCATCACAAGGACCACGCCTGGCACGACACTGGCTGTCAATTAGTGAGTCCATGTGTCCTTAAAACACATTCCGTGGACCAATTGTCGCCAACTTGAGCCTGTTGC